AAAGGCGGAGGATCACTCTTAAAGGGCAGTGACACGCTATATCGACCATTAGTATAGGTATAAGAATCTAAAAACAATTTTTCACAAAGGTCATCATCACTAGAAAAGGTCGTAGTTTCGGGTATTTTTTCAACTTCCCAAAAATTGGTTAAAGTATTATTAAGTTCTCGAATACAAGAAGATTTGCAAAAAAACGTGGACATAACAGGACGAGGTATTGAAGAAGTTTTTCCCAAAATCACGTAACCAAAAATTGTATGAATGGCATCAGGTTCAGATATGGTTCCGGTAACATGTCCATTTAATAATAGTTTTGGAAAGACATCTGCCCCAAGTAACAGATCGACAGGACCTGGAGTAAAATATTTGGGATCAGCAAGCTTAAGATCTAAAAGATGAGACCAATTATGAATAGGTAATGTAGAATCAGGAAGGTTATCACATATTTGATTAACGATAATAGCATCTAGATATATTTTAGGTTCTGGCTGATTAAGGGGTTTGCACGTTACCCCTACACGAGCGGTGTCAAGGGTAGATGTCATCGAGTCTAAACCTCTAATATCTACGGAAAATTCGGTTTGGGCAAGATTTAGACGAGTAGCAGCTCGCTTGGAAATAAACGAGCTCATACTTCCTGAATCTAGTAAGCAACGATATGAGCGGTAAATTCCTCGATTATCAAGAACATCGATAAGGGCGGTAGCTAATAAAATTCGACTTGATTCTATTACTCCTTGAGCGGTAAGAATTTGATTTCCTAAAGTACTAGTACTGGTGAAATTTGGCAGAGACGTAGACGAAGTAGGAGGCAAGCGGTCCAAAGGGCGGTGATTTTGAGATATTTGCCGATCAAAATGCAACAAGCTATGATGTGATTTTGAAAAACAATATCTACAACCTTGAGTACTATTGCAAGACCTCAGGTCATGAGAACTACTCAAGCAATTATAGCACAAATGGTTAGATTTGCAGAAGGCATGTCTTTCAGAGGGCGACTTTGAAGCGAAATTCTGACATTTATAAAGCGAATGAGTTTCCTTGCAAAGAATACAATTAGAACTAGGCGATTTAGCGCCAGTATTCGTAAAAAACGAACGCGGACGTGGTGTGATAATCTTAGGTTTATTTTTTATATTTGAACTGGATGGCGAGTCCGAATCAATATTATCATAAGCTAAATATTGTTCGTTTAAGAATTTAATAAGACTTTTATAGCTAGGAACCTGACAAGAACGATGTTCAAGTTCGAAACGTAGTTTAGTTTCATTATCAAGTCGTTTAAGTAACATCATGGCTAGAATGAAATCCCAATGTTCAACCGGAAAACCTAAGATTTCTAGAGCGGCAATATTTTCTTTAAAAATATCAAGTAATTTTTCTAAAGCGTGCGGATTATTCGATTCAATTTTAGACGTGCTGTCAATCTCATTCCAATGAGCTTGTGCACATTTTCGTGGATTTGCATACCTCTCTTGTAAAGTATCATAAGCTAATTGATAATTATTAGAAGTTAAAGGCAAATGCCGAACTAAAGAATATGGTTTTCCATCCAAGCAAGAGAGTAAATAATCGAATTTTTCAATATTAGATAAATGAGGTTTTTCATGAACTAAATTATTAAAATGGTCTATAAATGAGCGAAAATTTCTATAATCGCCACTAAATTTCTTTAATTCAATCACCGGCAAACGAATATGAGATGAATTTGGATCTATATGAAAAAGTGTAGAATTATGCAAAGCAGTATTTTGATTAGCGTTTACTGGTTGAGTATCAGATTCAAATAATTCCGAAAATAATGCTTTAATCTTATAAAATTCTTCTAAAAACATTTCTTTGGTAGCATCTTCGCCCCCAGCATCTTCAGGGATAGCAAACAATGTGGCAAGAACATTATTATGATGTTTAAAAAAATCCTCTTTAAGACTATCAATATCTGCGCACCTTACTTTAAAGACATTTTTGAATGATTTATTACTATTCGCTTTATCAGCGAGCATACTAATTACGTTTATTTCATTTAAGCAAAAAGTTCTTAAAGTTTTATATTTAACAAGTTTTTCAACCATTGTAATAAATTAAATAAATCGAATCGCAAGCAAAACAAAATTAAAACCAAATTTATTTGTATCAGCTGATCAAAAGGCAATATTAATGTAGCGGCAGCGGTATCAAGCTCACCTCGATACGAAACACGGCGAAAAGGCGGGCGATTTTTCACAAATTTCAAAAATAACGAAATATACGGTAGCGGAGTAAACGACAAAGCGGTGATTGATAAACAGAGCGACAATTAGCGAAAAGGCGATAATAATAATAAATGAAGGCCACTTGAAGGCCGATTGATTGGAACCTGTGTACACTACCGATGTCGAACAACTTGAGCACGACTCGACTAAAAAAATGACCAATATGTCTACCTGATAAATTTTACAATTAACTCAATAAATTTAATACTTATTGAAATAATATTGTATGCAAACTAAATGATTTTTTTTTTAGTAAGAACTGATTAATTTTAACAGATATGCTATAATTTTGAATAGCGCTTTTGATAATTTAAAAAATAAAGAAAATTTTAAATCGAATTTTTCGCAAAAAAAAAATCCCACAGTTATAATAATGCAACAATTTAATTCTAACTGTTATTAAAGTACTCGAAGGACCAAAAAAATGTAATAGAATGATTGGAATATTACGTAAAAAAGGGGCTGATTGTAACAGTCGAAAAAAAATAAGATAAACGTGTCTCAAACGCGCTTACCTTCTGTGCTGCATCATATGGTTCGTCGGATGAAGTAGGTGGTAGTATTAGTCCAGTAGCCAAGACCGGGCCCGGTTACACAATTTATATAACAACGTTTATTATACAGGATTTATAATAGCGGATTTAACGGCACATACACACCACAAAGCGTTCGTCGCGGCAATTTATGTAGTACTCTTCGTCCAACGGCGTTTCACTTGTCTTACAGTCAGACGAAGCGCATGTGTGGGCCAAAGTTTTAAGTAAGCGATTTGAGACAAAGCGCGAATATTTAAATAATAAAATAGGAATTAATTCATTCTGGAACAAGAGCAATAGAAAAATCAACGGGGTACTTTGGAGAACTGCTATTAAATAACAAAACTAGGAAACACATAATCTGAATAACTATGCGTTGAAACTGGAGTTCCATATGGTAGTGTATTAAGATATCTGATATTTACAATGAAGAGTCAACTGTCAATAAATTAAATAAGCATTTAATGCATTACAGAATATAATAAATTACCTACATTTATTAAGACAGTTAAACATTTCAAAATATGTAGTAAAAGACTTAAAAACTCTGATTTTGTTATTACTACTACTAATAAATAATAAATAATGAAGTTCTATTTATAGTTTTTGTTTTCTATTTATTAGCATTTTGCTAAAGTAAATTACTTTTTTATGTTTCTTATCAGTTCAATCAAGTTCACCACTACTCTTGTGAATTCTATTTTATTTCAAAAATAAACAGACAAAAACAACCAAAAATAGTTCCTTTGATCATCCTTAAGATATATCCTTTCTAATTTAAAAGATTTTACTTAGTAAATTGTCGACCGGGGCTTTATCAAAGAATGGCATCTCTCTTTGGGGGGTTAAGCTGTAATCCGAAAGGGTCTCTGCCTCTAAAAGCAAGAAATCGCGATAACGCACCACAGCTCCGGTATTTTATCAAATTGGAAGTAACTTTGAAGGTTTTCGAACACCTTCGAAGGCGGTTATCGAGTGTGTGATCAAGACGTTTGCGTGCCGGGGGTACACCGCGGGGTAATATCACGTAATTTTACGGGACAAATGTTAGGGAAATTAATCATTGAGAACCGCATTTTGTCCTGCGCTGTCAAAGAGTTAAATTTATGGATCGGAATAGGCGTGTGCTCGATAGAATCATACAGTATAACGCAGGAAAACTTTGCACATAAAAATTTTTACATTTGAAACCAATTTTTCTAAGTGCGTTAAATTTTATTTGATAATTTAAATTTGGAGACAATTTCTCTACATGGCCATTAGAACTAGCATTAATATAAACTCTTTCAAAATATAACTGTTCATGATCTCTTATTTATATTATTGCAGAAGTGATTAGAAAATTGCTACTTAACATAATAATAATTGTAATTCAATAAAAAAAACAGTATAACCAATTCTTATTTAATTGAAATGTTAGTAAAGTTAACAATAAGTATCTTAGTTTAATTAACAAATCTTCAAACACAAATTATATCCACCCATAATTTTTTATTTAAACTATAAAATCCATCCGTCACGCCTTCATATTGATTCGGTGTGAATTATAGCGTATTTAATAGAGAATGGAATTACCAATTAATAAAACAATTATTTCATTTAATTAAGTAGTGTGTACCGTTGAGATCTAATGGAAAGAACAGTTAGCTACTTGCTGCAAGTTTAATGCACTTAAAGTGGGATATTAAATTAACTACAATACATTTTCTTGCTAGGTCTTCTGGTGTTTTAATAAATTTTTTTTGCTAGCCAATTGTCCATTCATTCGATATAATTTGTTGGTCAGCACAACCTCCAGATCGCCGGGATATAGACAGTAACAGTTTCCGAAAATACAATCACAAAAAAATAAATTACATCAATTTCTTTTTACAATTTCTTTTATTAAATATTATAAATAAAACTAACTTTGGTTCAGCACATAACCAAAAATTATCATCTCTCTTTAGGATGCAAGTTATATGAATATGTCAGTATGTTCATCTCACTTGCATCTCTCTAGTAGAGGGCACACCACTCCTAGTCTGCTTAATAATTTTTAAATTAATTCGATAAACTTCTAACACTATACTAGATGAAAATTGTATTTTAATCATTCATGTATCTTACCATAAGAACGTTATATCATTAAAATATAGTTAGTAATAAAAAAACTATTAAACTCAGAGGTATTATTAAATTCAAAAAGTAAAATAAAGTGTTATCCACTCACCATGAAACAATCGGGTCCCTGTAAGCACATAGACTCTCCATTTGGGCCATCATTAGAGAACTGTAAAAGAGAAAAGCCAGAATTAATATTGAGGATTTAGACGAGATTAAAAACTTCATTAAAATTTGCATTTCAATATCATTTCTAAAAATGCGCGTTTTCGAGCCGGGTCCTACAATAGTAGAGCCTAAAGCACTTTGGGAATATTACACTGTTAAAAATTATACTTTGTGAAATTTTTGAAAAGCATATGTTTCTAGGAACTTAGATTAATATCAGTAGTATAAATTATGCGAAAAAACTATTGTATTTTCACTTTATTTTTACTAAACATAACATGAAACATAAATCACATCGTTAAAAAAGAACGACTACATGTAAAGCCAAAATCTAACCTAACCGCTGTAATTATAACATGGCCTTTTACATGTGTGGATGACGACGTACCGTTACAATACATAATACATGCATAATAATAATATTTAAAAACGTTAGTGACAAACAACACTATCTATGATAAGCCTAGACCTTTAGTACAAGTGCGCTCTGATCTACATCCTAATATTATCTATATTATTATATAATATATGTAACGTTTAGATTTGGCCTCATAGCGGTTTTTCATTAAAATAGAGAAGGCGTTTCTTCGCGAGCCTTTTTCCGTAGATTCAGGGGATTTTCTGCGACGCACTGAGCGAGTAGGTGGCTGTCCTGTATTCAAGATGTCGGTCTAGCGTTTCCGCCCTGACGGTAATTGTGGGTATATGATTAGTTTGGGGTAGATATGACCTCTATTTGAGTTTAGTTAGGCTATTTATTTGGTTTTAGAGGCTTGTTTGGTTATTTTAGCCCTTGGAGATTCATTTAATAAATAATTAAACTCAATTGTAATTGTTTGCAATAAATAAGAGCTCAATTAGGTACATCCCCAGATGCAGTTAAGTCCACAACAATTAGCACAAAAATAGTAAATTTTGTTACACTTTTCCGATTGCAATGTAACATCAAACGAGAATCGATCCGCATATGCAACTTTTATATTTTCACCCGTCCTGATTTGCATCGAACCACATTTTCATCCGGTTTCTCATTAGAAAATCCTAATATTCAAATTCGACGTACGTCTGTTTGCTTCAATAAACGCCGCCTGCGTAGAGACTTTTAAATGAAAAATACTTTTCCGGAAATATTTTGTGCACTAGATAACAGATTTTTCCCTAGCAAATAAAAGCAAGACGGTTCGAAAACTTCAGGCGAGTTTTATTTCCATGAATATTGTTTCAAATGTGATAGTAATACACGGTTAAAATTTTATCATCTCGACTTTTTTGAATCCAGTGTAGATTTCTTTTAAAAAATGTTATTACTATTGTTACAAAATATTTTCAAATTATTGCTACAAGAGGTGGATTATTTTTAAAATAAACTATTATCTTACGTGGTATTTGGAAAGATTATTTAACATTAAAAACAATATATATTATGTACAATGTACATTTAAACAATCCAAACGATATTTGTCCATTTTTCGTCAACATTTTGACAAACTACTTATTGACGTTTGGAGTTTTCAGGTATGGTTGGTTTTGATTGGCGTGTGTTGGAATAAAAGGGGATTGTCATTGGTTGATTTATTATAGCGATTAATTTCATAATATTCTGGATTTCGATTAGGTCTGGATTTTGTCCGAATTTCAAGGCTCACTTGTTCCGAATTTCAAAAAACCTTTATGGCCATCATATCCACTTAAATCGTTATTTATAATAGTCATATAGGTGAAATAGTAAGACATAACCGCTTTTTTTGACTTCCCAAAGGCTTCAATTTGAAATTATACATTTCTGATGCCATTTATTGTTAAATCCATGTGTTCACCCACAACAACGGTTACTTAAAGTTTGCAAGGAAGTAACTGTAACATGTAATTTTACCCTTTGTTGTTCACATATAGAAACTAGATAAAAACATATATTTTCTTACTAACATGTGTTTACTTCAATGTAAAGAAAGCGCCTCTTTAGACATTTCTCTCACTTTTTATTATACTAATGATGTTTGAATATTACTTCCTTGTTTTCGTTAAAAAGTAACTTAAAAACAACGACGAAACGTTCGTTTTCCTGCATAATTTCGTTAGGATAAAAATAAAACTTTTGTCAACTTCCACTCACGAAATATGTTTCAGAACTTTTTAACAAAAGTGTGAAGAATATAGGACATTAATATTTACTAGAGAGGCTTCACTATTTGATTGCTTTTTGAAACTTTTATAGACACGCTTATTTCGAATGTTCAGCATATGTTTACTTCTCAGTGGTTTCGATGGGGAAAAAATCATTCCATACACCATTTAGTTAACGTCCAAGAAAATTAAAGTGTTCGTAACATAACCTCAAAAGTATTAATTACATCCTTCAAAGTTTAAACCGTCATAATGAAGTAAATTACCAGTGGATTATTCTATTAATCTAGTATCGAAATTAAGAAAAAAATCATGACAATGTCAAAAAGGGTTATCGATTAACAAAACTCAGAAGCGTTATACTGAGAAAATAGATGGGATAAAAATAACGGTATCAAAGATATAGCGGGTCGTTTAACATAAGCCTTCATTTTACAATTTTAAACAGTTTTGGTCGTACTGCGCAGCTTTCTGAGTGCCTTTTAAAAGGAGATAGAAAACTCTGTCATTTTGATCCCTTATATATAACTCGGACCAGTTGAAAGTTCTAAAATAACATCCACTCCAGGGATACAAACTCAGGATACGCAGTAGACTGCTGTTTTATTATAGGCGGTTGTCATATATTGTATTATCCAAGTTACGCAGTGTATAAACTGGAACATTGAGATCAAAAGTGTCGACGCAGATTGAGCGATCTGATTCTTTAGCTATGAACAGTGGAATATGAATCAAAATGGCCGCGCTCTATGTTGGGCGTGTCGGACCTCTCTCTTGCACCGTATAGTAATCAAAGTATGTGCCCTTGATAGACTGTAATAATTAAGATTGCTCTAGGAATAGAAGTTACAATGATTATTGAGTTAATCTGAATGTTGCTCTCAATGTTTGCCAACTCTTAAGAATTTGGAGTGAGGGTAGCCATATGTGAGTAGTAGGGATTAAGTGTAAGGGGTTAAAGAAAAGGTACTTTATTTCTCACAAGTCAATTTAATTGGCGACCGGTTTTGAAGCTGTCACTTCATCATCAGGCACACCTTGACATTCCATTTAGGTGTGCCTGATGATGAAGTGACAGCTTCGAAACCGGTCGCCAATTAAATTGACTTGTGAGAAATAAAGGACCTTTTCTTTAACCCCTTACACTTAAACTCTTAAGAAATTAGACAAAGCTACAAAGCACATATAGCGAATTCAATATGTAAGAGTGAGAGGTACATATTCAATGGGTAAAAGTAAGACATACGGTCTGAGTGTAAAATGGGGAATGGAGGATTAAATTTCTATTAAAGCTGAACAGAAAAATCATATTTAGAACTAAAGCCAAAAGGGCCTGAGCCTGAATCTCCGTTATTGCTGGTCCGATTCAAATAAAAAAAACGGGGGAGTGCGGGGGATTAAATTTCTATTAACGCCAAATAACGCATGATTTTTCTGTTCGGTGTTAATAGAAAATAAACATAAACATTCAAAATTATATTATTTATATATCCTTATTACGATGGAACAAACTATTTATAAAGAAAAATATCAATTTGGAATTTTTACATTATATTAGACGCTAAAACGTTTTCACACGTTCGCATACATCACTATTGTGTTTTTTTGTTTAGAAAAATATTTTGCAATTCTCGCAACACAATCACGTAGGTGTCTCTAAAAACCTCACCTCCACCTCTTCGCCTTTTTTTTTTCAGTCGACAGACACAGACTGACTTAAACACAATAAAAATATGTGATCACGAAAGGCATTCCTACACTACACATGCAAATTAAACTAGAAGGCGAGGAATGACGTATTTAATCCTGATGAGGAGAAATAAATCCAATCAACTGGCATATAACGTATCTGGGACGTCACAATTGTTTAACATGAGACAAGTAACGAGCATCCAGTTACCTTTGTTCGCAGCCGATAGAGATTCATTTGTTAGTGCATTCCGAATTCAATATAACTGCAGTCCCATCGTTGTGTATACATACAAAGGGACGATATATGCAAATAACACCTTGTTAAAGTTTTTTTTCTTTTGCTTGGTTTTGGGTCAAAATACTGTAAAATTTTTTGATTAAAGTCTTCTCTTTCTCTAATTACGTATAATAATAAATAAATTGAAATTAAAAACAAATATATAGTAGTTAACACTAATTTTATGATTTGTTACTATTAAAAATATCTCGTTAATACGCCGGGAAGGTATACTACTTTGTTTTGCCGCCATTTTGGTAAACATTAGTCTTGACAGTTCATATTTGGCAATCGTGAAGTAGACACGTGGCAAATTTATTATGGAAAAATATTCGATAAACCAACGTGTTTTAATCGTTAAAACATTTTATCAAATTTAATCATCGATTACTGTGACGATGAGAAAGTTACGTGAAATTTTTGGGAGAAACAAAGTGTCAACAAAACGCACTATTTATCGTGTAGTGAATGATTTCGAAGAAACTAGGGTAATTTAGACTAGTCTAGGTTTAGATAGAATAAAACCCGTAACAATGTAATGAAAAATGTGCTCTCAAAACGGCTCGCATTTGTGAGGCTAACAGATGCGGACATTTATCTGATATTGTATTTCATACATAATAAAACATTTATCAATATAAGATCCATTCTCTTCTATTTAATCAAAAATTATAAACAAACAAAGTAGTATACCTTCCCGGCTGACACCCTGTATTAAATGATAAATAGACCATTATCGGGGTTATGATGGACAAGTAATGTTATTTTTAACAGACACGTTATTTGTAAGCAGGTTGTAATATCTATGTGCTTATAAAATAACAGACCTGTTAAAAATAACAGAGGTTGTCAATCATAACCCCTTATATTAACGGCAAAATATTTTTTTTTTCAAAAAATTTATCCCA